CAGGGTGGGCAGGGGGGGTTGGGCCCAGAGCCCCCCCTCCCGCAGCCCCCCGTGCCCGCAGCGCATCCCGTCCTGGCGCCGGGGGCTGCTCGAGGCGTAGGCCACGGCCCTCCACTGCAGGAAGCTGAGCACGGAGCTGGGGGGGGAGCTGGAGCTGTTGGATTGGGAGCTGGAGCTGTTGGATTGGGAGCTGGAGCTGTTGGATTGGGATTCGGGGCCGTCGGACCAGGATTCGGAGCCGTTGGGTCGGGATTCGGCCACCAGGGACAGCGTCTGGGGAGGGAATGATTTAAGGGGTTGGTGTGGATTTGTCTGACCCTGATTTGAGTGTTGGAGTGGATTTATTTAATTGTTGGTGTGGATTTATCTGACCCCAATTCAAGGTGCTGGTGTGGATTGATTTGATTTAAGTGTTGGTGTGGATTTATTTAAGTGTCGGTGTGGATTTATTTAAGTGTCGGTGTGGATTTGTCTGGCCCTGACTTGAGTGTTGGAGTGGATTTATCTGGCCCTGATTTAAGGTGTTGGTGTGGATTTATTTGATTTGAGTGTTGGTGTGGATTTGTCTGATCCCAATTTTGGTGTGGATTTATCTGGCCCTGATTTGAGTGCTGGTGTGGATTTATTTGATTTAAGGTGTTGGTGTGCATTTTTTTGACCCTGATTTAGGTCTTAGTGTGGATTTACCTGGTCCTGATTTAGGTGTTGGTGTGGATTTACTTGATTTAGGTGTTGGTGTGGATTTATCTGGTCCTGATTTAGGTGTTGGTCTGGATTTATTTAAGTGTTGGTGTGGATTTATCTGGCCCCAATTCTGGTGTCGGTGTGGATTTGTCTGGCCCTGATTTGAGTGTTGGTGTGGATTTATTTAAGTGTTGGTGTGGATTTATCTGGCCCTGATTTAAGGTGTTGGTGTGGATTTGATTTGAGTGTTGGTGTGGATTTATCTGGCCCCAATTCTGGTGTCGGTGTGGATTTGTCTGGCCCTGATTTGAGTGTTGGAGTGGATTTATCTGACCCTGATTTAGGTGTTGGTGTGGATTTATTTAAGTGTTGGTGTGGATTTGTCTGATCCCAATTTTGGTATGGATTTATCTGATCCCAATTTTGGTGTGGATTTGTCTGGCCCTGATTTGAGTGCTGGTGTGGATTTACTTGATTTAGGTGTTGGTGTGGATTTATCTGGCCCTGGTTTGAGTGTTGGTGTGGATTTACCTGGTCCTGATTTAGGCATTGGTGTGGATTTATTTAAGTGTTGGTGTGGATTTATCTGACCCCGATTCCAGTGTTGGTGTGGATTTATTTAAGTGTTGGTGTGGATTTATTTGAGTGTCAGTGTGGATTTCTCTGACCCTGATTTGAGTGTTGGTGTGGATTTATTTGATTTAAGTGTTGGTGTGGATTTATCTGGCCCCAATTCCGGTGTCGGTGTGGATTTGTCTGGCCCTGATTTGAGTGTTGGAGTGGATTTATCTGACCCTGATTT